TTCTCCTTCTTCTGAAATGGGTCATGTAGCCTGCGTGGGCCACATATCTTGGCCACGTGGGACTTCAGTGATTTTTCTAATCTTCTTTATTTGATTTTTCAAAGTTATTTCCTTAGGCACTTAACATAGGGACCTCCGCCCCTCATGACCTTCATATCCTGTGACGACCCGGCCAGTCGTCTCATGAGTTAACACTCTATTTTTCTCATTTATGCTTCTTATTTCTTTATCTATCGTTTCTATATGTGATCGGGTTGGTTGGCTCGGATTCGGAAAGGAATTGGTAAGGTTTGAGACACTTAGTCTCTTTTGAGGAAGCTTAAGTTGGAAAAGTTAACCGGATATTGACTTATGTGTTAGAGGGCTCGGATGTGAGTTCCTATGGTTCGGATAGCTTCGAGAGGTGAATTGGGACTTAGGGGCATGATCGGAATGTGTTTTTGAGGTCCAGAGTAGATTTAGGCTTGAATTGGCGAAATTGGATTTTTGGCGTTTTCCGGTTGATAGGTGAGATTTTGATATAGGGGTCAGAATGGAATTCCTAGAGTTGCATTAGTTCCACTGTGTCATTTGGGATGTGTGTGCAAAATTCAGGTCATTCGAGCGTGGTTTGGTTGGGTTTTTATCAAAAGCGTAATTTAGAAGATTTTGGAATTCTTAGGCTTGAATCCAATGCAAATTTGGTGTTTTGATGTTGTTTTTAGCGTTCCGAAGATTGGAACAAGTTCGAATAATGTTATGGGATATGTTGGTATGTTTGTTCGAGGTCCCGGGGGCCTCGGGTGAGTTTCGGGTGGTCAATCGGACCATTTCATGTTATTGAGAATTGCAGAGAAATTAGACCTTCGCGTTCGCGAAGGGTTAGCTGGTGAAGGCTGAGATTTTAGCCTTTGTGTTCGCGAGGAAGGCGCTGTGTTCGCGAAGGGCTGGGCTGAGGTGTATCGCGTTCGCAAGGTGGAGTCGCTTTCGCATAGAGGAACTTGAGCAGCTGGGGTGGAAGGTGTTTTGTTCATCGCGTTCGCGAGAGAGGGAGTGCATTCGCGAAGGGTTAAGCGGAGGAGCCATCACGTTCGTGAGTGGCTGGTCGCGATCGCGAAGAGGAATTTTTGGTCAAAGTTATTTTGTGCTTCGCGAACGCGAGGCGTTGACCTTGTTCGCGAAGAAGGAAATGAGGCCTGGGTAGAATGTTTAAATAGTCATCTTGTCCGCGATTATGGAGTTTATTTCCACCATTCTTGAGCGATTTTGGAGCTTTTTGAAGAGGATTTAAGAGGGATTCAAGGGGAGACACTTGGAGGTAAGATTCATGGACTTAATACTCGATTCTAATGTGAAATCTACCAAATTAATCATAGAAATTAAGCCTAAAATTAAAGAACTAGGGCTTGTAATTGGAGACCTAGAATTTGGGATTTGAGGGGTCATTTATGGTTGGATTTTGATGCTTTTGGTATGAATGAACTCGGGGAGTGATAAGGAGTCCATTGATGCAATTTTTATCGGAATCCGAGATGTGGGCCTGGGGGTCGTGTTTTTGTAATTTCGGGATTTAAGTTGTAAATTGATTATTTTCGCTTGAGATTCGTTCCCTTAGTATATTTTGACGCAGTGATTCTAATTTTTGGATAGATTCGATGCGAGTGGAGGCCGATTCGAGGGGCAAAGGCGTCGCGGGCTAGAGTTTGGATCGGATTTAGGTGAGTAATGATTGTAAATGATGTCCTAAGGGTATGGAACACCGGATTGCACATCGTTGTGCTATATTGAGGTGACGCACACGCTAGATGACGAGCGTGGGGCCATGCACTATTGGAGATTGTGACTTAGTCCGTCCCGAATGACTATTTTACCGCGTATTTGACTGAAAACTATTTGCTATCATCATATTTTGGGTTGAATGCCATATTTGGGCCTTGTGCCAAATATTTGAACCCGTAGGGGATTTTTATTGATATTTCCTCACTATTTTGACTTTATACTTGAACTCAGTCATGCTATATCCTACTATTTTCATAACTCGGCCATGTTTACTCTGCTTTAACACTTAAATAATATTTTGGGCTGAGCACCATATTTTACTGTTGCTCGAGTGGCTGTGGGATTCTGACTGAGTTAGGCCGAGGGCCTATATTGTAAGGAAACACCTGATTATGATTTTGAGGCCGAGGTCCTGAGATTTATACCCCACGAGATGGCTTGTTGATATGAGGCCGAGAGCCTAGTGATGACGCCACGAGATGGCTTGATATTGCGCTTGGGACGTAAGGGGCCCCTCCAGGAGTCTGCACACCCCCAGTGAGTGCGGGTACCTATTGTGATGTGAGATATAGCCCGAAGGGCTAGTATTGTTTCTGAGATATTACCCGAGGGGCGAATTATTGACATTGTGCTCGATGGGAGATCCTTTATGTGTTTATCTTTCCTATTTGTGTGTCATTTTCTTGATTAATTGTTAAAAAGGCATTTTATGAAGTTTTAAACTAAACCCAGTAATTTTACACATCTTTACTGCTTCACTGTTTTACTGGCTTTTACTACTTCCTTATAGCCTATAAGGTGCCTTACGTGATTTCTTGCTTTCAGTCTTTATTTATGATTATTACTCACTGAGTTGGAGTACTCACTTTACTCCCTGCACCCCGTATGGAGATTCAGGCGCATCAGGTCCCGCTAGTGAGTGTTAATCTTTCCAGCTCAGGCGGATTCAAAGATTCTCTAGGTAGCTGCCGACGTTCGCAGCCCAGAGCTTCTTCCTTTATCTTATCTTCCTCTGTTTTAGATTTGAATTACACTATGTAGACCTTTCTTATATCATCCGGATTGTAGATGCTCATGACTAGTGACACCCCGGTATCGGGCTGTGTTGGCTTTACTTCCGCATTGTACTATTCAATGTTTACTTTGGGATTATTTATTACGTTTTAGACTTAACTCTTATTGTTTAATTACTTAAACCTAAAATGGGAAAGTGTCGGATGGCCTTGTCTTCATGAGAGGCGTCATCACTACTGGGTTCGGGTTTAGGGTCATGACATATCCTAGTATTCCAATGGACTTGTTCCACTCGTACTAGCCTCGCGTTATATCTAAATTGTATTCCTTAAGCTTGAAATCAACCTGAATCATTTGCAAGAACTCATGGGGCTTTACACAATGACTATTGCACATGACCACAAAAGTTTATGTGATTCAGGGCCGAAAGCCCGAATTTATGAAGATCGCATGGACATTAACATACAAAAAATCAAAATTGTGTTGAATTCCTATTTTAGGCCCTAAACGCCAAAAAATAAAAAATAAAAAGCTCATGGAGAAGTAATGACTATTGTTCATTAGGTCATTTCTGATGGGCCAACAAATTTTACGTAATTCAAGGCCAGTTAATTCATAAAGATATCGTGGATATTAACACATGAAAAATCAAAAATCATGTTGAATTCTTATTTTATAGCCCTAAGATGCAAAAATATGAGGAACAATCATGGAGGAGCAATGAATATTACTTATTAGGTCGTTTCTGATAGGCCTACAAAATTTTAGGCAATTTAGGGTCGATCGCCCGAATTCATGAAGATAGAGTGGATATTATTAGCACACAAAAAATTGAAAATTTTGCTGATTCAAATTTTATTGTCCTAAAATACCAAAAAATGAGGAACTGTCATGGAGAAGCAATGACTATTATTCATTACGTCGTTTCTGATGGGTCCAAAAAAATTATAAGCGATTCGGGACTGGTCGCCCGAATTCATGAAGATGGCATGGACATTAGCACTCGAAAATCGTGCTGAATTCATGTTTATGGCCCTAAAACTCCAAAAACTGAAGAACGGTCATGGAGAAGCAATGACTATTGTTCATTAGGTTGTTCATGTCCTAATACACACAAAAAAGTGGATGTAATCAGAAATTCGTATTGCACGACCCAGAAATGCCTTAAAATGAACTTGAAAGTCATGATGAAGCAATGACTATTAGTCACTAGGCCGTTATCTATAGACCTACAAAATTTTAGGCCAATCGGAGTCCGTCAAATTTTTTTTACAGAATCAACATGTACTAATGCATACCAAAAAGTAAATATTTTTGTTACATGATCCTGAAGCACCATAAAATGATCCCGAAGGTCATGCAATACTCACTATGACCAACATCGTTTTAGCGTTTCGGGGTCATGAAACATGAATTAGTGTCCATTTTTTCATGTGTTTTATATACATGATACATTTTTTTGAATTTTGTGGACGAACTCCGATTGGTTTAAAAATTGATGGAACCATCGGATACGGTTGAGCAATACGCACCATGACTAAGGTTATTTTTTTATGTTTTTGGGTCATGACACATGCATTAACTGTTATGTTTATTTTTTCGTGTGTTTATTTATGTACATGATGATTTTTCTGAATTTAGTTGATAGATTTCAATTGGCCTAAAAATTGATGTAATCAAAGGATGCGGAATGTTCAAATTTTGTAAGAAGAAGAAACTCAACTTATCGATTCAAAAACGAAAATTCAAAATATCCAATCCGATAAATTCGAAACAGAATTTGAAAAATTCATTCAACTGAGCATATATGGATTGGATTTGGATTATAAATTTTTTATCCGAAAACCGAATATCCAATTCGAACGGCCCGAATGCCCCTTAAGTTTGGACCTTGGAATTTATTCCAATTTGGACCTTTAAATTTTTTCCCAAGAACAAACATCAATTTTCGAACTCTTTATCTATGACCACCCTATTCAGATTACCATCGCGAAATGTTATTGACTAGTAAGTTTATGTTGATTAATTTGATAGACGTGAAGCATTGATGCGCTTTCATTTAGGATTGAATGTACCTGCACACCAGCAAGGGGTGGTGGCGCAGTTGGCTAGCGCGTAGGTCTCATAGCTTCTGAGTTATCCTGAGGTCGAGAGTTCGAGCCTCTCTCACCCCATAACATATTTTTCTAATACAGAAGGGAGAGGGAGAGGGAGACGAGAACGTATTATGATGTTTAAAATGAACTCATGCAAAGCTTATACAGAATACTATTTGTAAATGATAAGCTAAAGGAAGCTAGTACATAAATACATCTAAGTCTCATAACAATTTCTTGGACATTCTTAGTTAACGAAACTGGTTGAAATTTTGACAATTTTCTGTTTTCCCATGAAAAGTATTAACTGCCTTGACATGATTACCGGAAGAGGATGCACCTGGCAGGTGAACCATCTCCATGATTCAGCCTCAGAGGTAGGCAGTGAATTGTGTAAACTCCTGGGACAGCATCATCAAGCTTGAGGCCTTCCACCGGAATTATATCCTGATGCATATTAAAGAATCCTTAACAGTTAGTAACTAAGTAAAAGCATAAACAAAACCAAGAGTGTTAGAAGAAAGTATTGAAAGAAAGCTTTGAAGCGGGAAAAATCAGTCCTTCAAGAAATATTGCTTGTATAGCATCTAGGGGAATACAAACAAGTTTCTTCAAGGTTCCATTTTCCTTGAAGAAACATTGCTTGTCTAGGCTTTTAGGGGAATACAAACAAGTTTCTGCGAGATAACAGATATTGCAAACTTAGCCACCTCTCGGGAAAATCCTGAAAAGTTGAATTTATAGAAGTGAAACCAGGTCTTTCTGAACACAACAACAACAATAAACCCAGTGTAAGGTTTGGGGAGGGTAGTGTGTACATTCAGATCTATTCTAAATACACATATTATTTCATTAACAGACGTTTGCTTTATTAAAAAAATATTAACTATTGTTCTAAATTACTTGGAGAGCTTTACTCATAAAAGCCTTCAAAAGGCCTTTCGGCCACTAATGTGGGACTTCTCACTTTATATTACAAACTACAAAAAAAGAGGACTCTATTAATAATTCTAAGAGAAAGAAGAACACTTGCTGCTCAAGACAATGGAGTGCCACATGGTTGAGAAGCGAAAAGGATTAGCAAGTGAAATTTGTTGATATTATGCAGCTGGTAGCAAACAAGAAACTTAAAATACTATTCTTCAACAAAGGGGTTTTCAATCTTACAGGTAAACCGAAATGGGCAAATGGATGCTATACTTACTTTAGGAGCAAAAAGTAGTTGATGAACTTTAACGAGCTGATCCTTGGGATTAATTGCAACAGACAAGTAATCAACACCGACCAGTTTGATGTCGGTATTCTGGACCAGATACTCTGCTCCATCTGAGGTGAATGCTGTATAGGAGGAATCAAATTCTTTCTTGTACATCAACCTCCTGTTTACATTCAAAATATATATACACATTCAACACAACACGGGATGAAAAAATGAAAGAACTAACTTGTTGGGCATTTTAGCAGGGTTGGACCAAAGAAATACCTCCAATATGAACAAAGGAATAAGTACCTGTCGGTGTTTAATGTTCGAAAAAGAACACGTTTTACTCCTCGGGGTATGTTCAATGACCTCATCACTTCAGCTGATTAACAAGAAAACAAGCAAAACTCTTAGGTTTCGTCCCATTGAGACCAAAATATTGTGCAAGGAGAGAAAAAGCTTACTGCTTGGTTCCAAACTATAGCGTATGGGGTAGAACAAGAGATGATCTATTCTCTGTTTTGTTTGGTTTTTCTTTTCAGAAAGACTCAACTAGTAAGAATTTTGGCAATGCGTATGAAAAAGAATGTCAGTAGGCCTTTAAATTACTTTTTGGCTAGATAGTCAGCGAACAAAATGACTTAGTGTAGTTTTAGCCATCCCATTTACTCAAGTACATTAAGACATCTCTATACCAACATCTCTTAAAGGGTGTATTGTGGGCCGGGCCCATCCCGGGACCGCTAGCAAACGGTCTGAAATTTAAAAAGTAGGCGTTGGCCTGCAATTTTAGCCGTTTAGCTTTTTAAAAAATAGTCATTTGGCCCCCAAACTTTTTATAATTATACTTTTTCCTTATTCTCAACTATAAATACTCCCTCATTCTTTCATTTTTACTCACAAATTCATCAATCTCTCTCATTTCTCAAACTCAAATTGAAGTATTCAAGTTTTCACTCATCTTTCATTTCTCAAACTCAAATTCTTAATTCAAGTTAAATCATGCCCGGTAATTCTAGATTGCACCCATTTGTTTTGGAACACTTTAATGTGGTAGAAGAAAATGAAGAAGTTTACATAATAAAGTGCAAGAACTGTGGTCGAGTCTACACTCGTCGTCCAAAGGAGCAGGCAATTTAAGGAGGCATATAAAGAATTGTCTTGCGCGTTCTCCAGACATTCGTATTTAAGATTTTAAGTTGATTTGAGACAATTTGTGTTATTTTAAAATTATTAGACGTATTATGCTTAATGTTTTAGTTTGTTAGATTAATTTGAAGTATTATGTTGAAGGCATTGAACTTTAATTTGAAGTATTAAATGTAAACTTTAATTTGCAGCTTTGATACCGAGTTCATATATATATATATATATATAGAGAGAGAGAGAGAGAGCTAATGTATACAATCTTATATAAGATGTGACATTATACTAACTACTAAGTGTATAGTATATAAGCTATATTCGAATTTCGAAATAACATTAGCTATATTAAGACATATATATATATATATATATACACCAAACTTTGTTTTAACCCCAAACCTTTTATAATTACACTTTTTCCCTATTCTCAACTATAAATACCCCCTCATTCTTTCATTTTTACTCACAAAATCATCAATCTCTCTTATTTCTCAAATCAAATTGAAGTATTCAAGTCTTCACTCATCACTCATTTCTTAATTCTTAAGTCTTCAAGTTTTTCTTTACGTTTTAACAAATGTCTGAACCCCTTTATGTGCCAAGGTGCGAGTGCGGCAAAAAATGCATGATGCAAGACTGTTGGTATGATGGTGAAGCTGGACGCCGCTACTGGGCGTGTATGAACAAGTTTTATAGGGTTCTCGACGAACCTGTTTGCAATTTTGAGGTATGGATTGATGAACTCTGTTAGCAGGAATACTACAAAAAAAAGTTGCAGTATTTTCATTGTTTGTGTTTGAAGCAGTGGGAAAGAGAGCGACAATACAAACGAGAAGTTGCGGAGTTGAAGGAGAAACTCAAAGAGGTGGAAGAAGAAAAAAATAAGCTGGAAGACAAATTTAAGTGGTTGGAGCAGAGAATACTAGGTGGTCGTGATTAGGGCGGTGCACGGATCGGATCAGATCGGATTTAGCACATTTCGGATTCGAATTTCGAATTTCGGATTCTAGAAAATGCAATCCGAATTATATCAGATTGGATTGGATTTTAAAGTTTGGATTGGATCGGATTTCAGATCGTATTATTATGCCTCAAA